GCTCAGACAGTCCTTAACCATCTACACCAGTCCTAGTACTGCCAGCCCAGGGTAGGACTAGGTCCTTCTAGTAATAGATGTCTATGGGGAGTGATGAACACACCTCCGATGATGCAGGTTGTGTCCATGTATGGAGGGTGAGGCCTTGTTTACACGTGCTTCAGAATGTGACATTGGATGCGTTTTTAAAGCCCTCGAATACCAATCAAATCGAAGCCTCCATAGAAGTCTATGACAACCCTGGCCAACAGCACCTTCAGCATTTGAGCCAACCCCCACCCCCACTGGTGCCCCTCCAGGTTCTCCCATGCAGTTGGCCATCCCGGCACTGAACCCAAAGGTCCTGCAGACTGGAAGCGATGGCATTTGGTCACGTCCGGTTAGGTCGATGTACACACAGATGGATGTTTCCGGAAAGCTTGAGATCAATGGGGATTTATTGTCGATCTCATGGTTTCCAGGGTAGAGGAGAGATGTGGGGGGTCATAAAATACATTCAAAGAAAAATGAAAGCCCCCCCCCCCCCGCTCGCATGCAGAGGCAAACAGATACGTACCCCCCATGCACACATATGTAAATACGTACCCCATGCACACATATGTAAATACGTACCCCATGCACACATGTAAATACGTACCCCATGCACACATGTAAATACGTACCCCATGCACACATATGTAAATGGTATAAGCACCACCACTTGGGCTGCTCTATGTACACAGCAACTCCTGACTTTGATTACCAGAGCACAGGGGCGGACTGACAACTCATGGGGCCCCCGGGCACTAGGGGATCATGGGGCCCCTATGTCCTTGCCCAAACTCAAAAAAGCTTATGAAAGGTACCAGGGGCTTCTCATGGGGCCCCCTACTGACCCCGGGCCCTCAAGCAGTGCCCGAGTTTCCAAATGGTCAGTCCACCCCTGCCAGAGCATTACTAGGGAGAGGAAGGGATGGGGGGGGGGCAGGATTGGTCATGTCCCACACATCTTGGGTACTCGGATGAAGTCTTCGTTGGGGTGTGGATGGGGCACATCCACGGTCCATGACTAGTTAATGATTTGCTTTTTGCTTCAGATGTTTCTATTATTACAACTTGAATATCGATCGATCTCGTATCAGAAATGTTATCCGTTTCTGCAGCTAAACCACGCCTTGTCTATAGCAGCCACAACCTAGAAGGAACCTTTGACCCTCGAGCCGGAACGTCAGCCCAGAACCTGAGGAAAGGGAGACTCCGTTCCTGACTGGATATTCTGCCCCGCCCCCGACTGGATATTTTGCCCCGCCCCCGACTGGATATTCTGCCCCGCCCCAAGAAGGTGTATACCTTTAAGCAGCATATATAAATGGGCGCCGCCTAGTCTGAGCACTACAACAGTCCATGTGAAGTGAACAAAGAACATCAATACATTTCTCACACGCTTTCCATTCTCATGGATGGGATTTCTCACACGCTTTCCATTCTCACGGATGGGATTGATGGCGCCACCATCAGGAGCAGGACACTGGTGCGACTTAAACAGAAAGCACATCTAAGGAGCAGCCCTCTGGTGGTGGCCAAACTCTCCATCTGCAACCCAGGATTCAGTTAGTAGCCAGTAGTAGAAGGGTGACAACACCAAACAAGACTGGGTGGGGGCTGTGTCCTTCAATGAACTCAGAGAAAAGGACTTTACGGTCAGGACAGAAATCCAATCTTCTCCATCATTCATTGAAGGACAAAGCTGAATTTCTCATGGATGGGACTTCCCAAAGCAGTGCCATAAATACAGAAGAAGGGGTGGGACCACAACCAAACAGCAGAACTAGGAACCGGCCCCCTGGTGGAACTCAAACTTTCCATCCAAAGCTGGCATCTGCAGAGGCAGCGATATCAACCTTAGAAAAATTGGTAAACGTGAACTGACGACTAAGTATCTGCCTTGCCAATCTGAACAGCAGAAGCAAAGTGATGAAAGGCCTAGGACATTTTTCGCACCCCCGGGTAGAACGCACCGTAATTGGAAATGGAGCCTCATGGCCCGCAAGAGCTTAGGCCTGGCTCGCTGTGCTACAAAACCATTTGAAATGGTGGACAATGAGGCAATTTGACCTTGTCTAGGCCCCTCTGGAATGATGGACAGAGCGTCAGACCCCACAACAGCTCCCATGGCTGAGAAATTAACTCTAACCTGACTACATCCAGGCAATGGAGGGCCGTCTCTCTCGGATGAGAGGGACGAGGGCACAAGGAAGGTAAGACTATATCCTTGTTAAGGTGAAAGGCTGACACCACCTTGGCCAGAAAAGATAGCCTTGGCCGAAGAACCACCTTGTTTTAATGCAACACCAAAAAGGGCTGCTTACAGGAAAGAGCCATGAGCTTGGACACCCAGTGGGCAGAAGTGATGGCCAACAAGAAGGCTACCTTTTGCAGCAAAGTGGAGAGGGGAAAATCCCAAATGTCTTCAAATGGATGTTTTTGAAAGGTCAACAAAAGAAGGTTCAGGTCCCAAGGTGATAGGAGAGATCTAAAAAGTGGAACTACCTGAGTGACCCCCTGGATGAACGTAAGGACCAGTGAGAAAGAGGTCAGAGCAGACTGAAAAAGAACAGCCAATGCAGATATCTGGCTCTCAGTAGAACTAAAGGCCAACCTATGATCCACACCCCTCTGATGAAAGGTCAAAATACAAGCAACCGAGAACCTGAGAGGGTGGACCTCCAGAGAATCACAAAAGGCGAAGTAGGCCTTCCAGGTGTGATAGTAGATAAACCAAGAAGTAGACTTCTGGGCCCGAAGCATAGTGGAAATAACAGCAGGGGACAGACATTTGTCCTTCAGGACCTGGATCTCAACAGCCAAGCCTTTAAAGCCAGCAACTGTAAAGCAAGGCGGTAAACCGGACCTTGAAAGAGGAGGTCTGGATGAGCTGGAAGGTGCTAAAGATGCATCTGCCAGCAGCCAAATGAGATCTGCGAACCAAGCCCCGTGTGGCCATCAGGAGCCACCAGAATGACTGCAATGCCCTTCTACTCTATCATTGATCGCAACCAAGGAATGAGCTTCAACAGTGGAAACACATAAATCTGGGAGTGCTGGTGCCACAGAGCCATCAGTGTGCACAACACGTTTGCCCATGGGTTCCTGGACGGGGTGACAAATCTGGGAATCTTCTGATTGAGCCAGGCTGTGAAGAGGTCAACATCCAGGGTACCCCAACGCTGACAAATTTGAAGAAACACCTCAGGGTGCAGGGACCACTCCATCCGATCCAGACTCTGGTGACTGAGATAGTCTACCTGCCAGTTGTGCACTCCTAGAATGTAGACTGCAGATAGGGCATGCTGTTCCATCCAGTTGAGGATGTGGACCACTATGGAGCTCCTGGTGTCACCCTGGTGGTTGATGTAAGTCACCGTGGTGATGTTGTCCAACTGCACCTGGACTGGGCAACCCTCGAAAAGTGCTGTCCAATTAGAGAGATGGACTCCTTCGAAGCTCTAAGATATTATTGGGATGACTAGACTCTTCCAGAGCCCAATGGCCTTGGACAGAGGAATGCTCCAATACGCCCCCCCCCCCCCCAAAGAGGCTGGCGTCCATGGTGACAATCTGCCAACTGAAAAGAAGAAGTTCTTCCTTTGGTGGAGAGCAAATCCACCAAATTAACAATGCCTTGGTCAGACGAGACAACTGTAAGCAAAAACGCAAATAAAAGAAAGAAAAATTATTGAAAAACTAGGGAGCTACAAACGCCATTTCCAAAGTCCTGCGACACTAGGCAAAAACTGAATCCTGGGTTGCAGATGGGGGGATTGGCCGCCACCAGAGGGCCGCCCCTTACACATGCTTTTAGTTCAAGTTGCACTAGTGTCCTGCTCCTGAAGATTGAGGAATCAAACCCATCTGTGAGAAATTCTGCTGCGTCCTTCAATGAACGATAGAAAAATACATTTGAACGACACGTATTCAGGATCAACTACATATATAAGGAACATTGTAATGTAATACCATGACGTCATCATGTAACTGTGGAAACAATGGAATGAGCTGTGATAACTAGCAATGGAAAGTGTGAACTTTTATTATATTAATTTATTCCAGTACTGTGAAGACCATGTGCTCAGGTGTGAACGTTTAATCTGTATAACCCAATAGAAAGCATCTGATAAAAAACAAAAAGGAAGGTGGACACATGTAAGTGATATGGTCCCATGTAGGTGAGATGGTCCCATGTAAGTGAGATGGTCAAGTAAGGTGGACCCATGTAGGTGAGATGGACCCATGTAGGTGAGATGGTCCCATGTAAGTGAGATGGTCAAGTAAGGTGGACCCATGTAGGTGAGATGGACCCATGTAGGTGAGATGGTCCCATGTAGGTGAGATGGTCCGTTGTAAGTGAGTTGGTCCCATGTAAGTGAGTTGGTCCCATGTAAGTGAGATGGTCCCATGTAAGTGAGGAGGTCTCATGTAAGTGAGATGGTCAAGTAAGGTGGACCCATGTTAATGAGATATTCCCATGTAGGTGAAGTGGTTCCATGTAGGTGAGATGGTCAAGTAAGGTGGACCCATGTAGGTGAGATGGACCCATGTAGGTAAGATGGTCCCGTGTAAGTGAGGTGGTCCCATGTAAGTGAGATGGCCCCAAGAAAGTAAGATGGCCCCATGTAAGTGGGATGGTCCCATGTAGGTGAGATGGTCCAATGTAAGTGGGATGGTCTCATGTAGGTGAGATGGTACCATGTAAGTAAGGTGGTCCCATGTAAGTAAGGTGGTCCCATGTAAGTGAGATGGCCCTATGTAAGTGAGATGGCCCCAAGAAAGTAAGATGGCCCCATGTAAGTGGGATGGCCCCATGTAAGTGGGATGGTCTCATGTAGGTGAGGTGGTCCCATGTAAGTGAGGTGGTCCCATGTAAGTGAGGTGGTCTCAGGTAAGTGAGATGGTCCAGGCACTTTTAAGCCACCTCTAAATATGGGACCTCAGGAGAACAGTCAACACTCCACAAGGGAATCTCAAATCCCATTAATAAAACTCACTATGTTGTCTACAGCAAGCTTCCCAGATTCAAATGAAAGTCTGCCACTGTCGAAGAAGCTGACAATGCCATGGAAGCCATCTTTCACGTGGTACCAGGTGACTGGGATTCCTCGGTCCTCCAGGCGTTTCTTGTACAGAATCCCATCATCACGCAACACATCAAACTCGCATGTTAAAATGTAAGTCTTTGGTTGTTGGCTAATCACAGAATCTTCAGCCAGCAATGGAGAGAAATAAGGCTCAAGGGCCTTCTTGTGAGCTTCATAGACGTCTTCAGAGTGGGAGGTCATGACTCGGAGGTCACGCCCCCGGACCTTAAATTCATCAGGAATGTTCTCGGCACCCAACCACTTCTTAAATTTCATTTTCATTTCCACGGGGACATGGTCTCCATTCAGAACGTCTTCCATCATGTACAGGTCACCATCCATGTAGTTGATCATGTAGAAGGCTGCTCGCTCCCGATACAAGATGGGGACTGCCCTGTTTTGTGTGTAGGACGGTAAGTGGAAGTCAACTGCTTGGACTGCAGGATATATTAGAACTTGGGCCAGAGGCTTCGGAAGATCCGTCCGCTCCACCAGAGCCTGACAGACGGCAGCTGTGAGGTTACCACCTGCACTGTCCCCACTGATAATGACTGAGGAAGCATCGACCCCGTATTCCTCGGCAGTCTGTAGGAAGTGGATGGTGGCAGTCAGACAATCCTCAAACGCTGCTGGGTACCGATGTTCTGGAGCCAGACGGTAACTTAAAAGAAGAGGAGATGATTAAAAGTTCACATAAAGAGGCTTTTATCCTGTACAGTTCTCAAAGTGTACCTAAGTGGAATAATACAGTATATACTACCAGCCTATAAATGTGGTGGCTGCATTCGTTTTCTGGTTTCAGACTTTTTCACCTGATATTCCTACAAATAACAGACTGCCTGTCCCTTCATGTCTACGCTTTGTTCTTCACTGTGTCTAGTTTACAGAAGATAGATATAGTTGTTTGTTCTTACTTTTCAGCTCACAGAACCAGAACCAATAGCTCTGGTCTGGTGTACAGGGGTCAGACTGTTGTAGATCAGGTGTGGGTCTATGGTGGGAAGTCTACGAGGGAGGACCATGGCTCTGGTCTGGTGTACAGGGGTCAGACTGTTGTAGATCAGGTGTGGGTCTATGGTGGGAAGTCTACAAGGGGGGACCGTGGCTCTGGTCCGGTGTACAGGGGTCAGACTGTTGTAGATCAGGTGTGGGTCTATGGTGGGAAGTCTACAAGGGGGGACCGTGGCTCTGGTCCGGTGTACAGGGGTCAGACTGTTGTAGATCAGGTGTGGGTCTATGGTGGGAAGTCTACGAGGGAGGACCATGGCTCTGGTCTGGTGTACAGGGGTCAGACTGTTGTAGATCAGGTGTGGGTCTATGGTGGGAAGTCTACGAGGGGGGACCATGGCTCTGGTCTGGTGTACAGGGGTCAGACTGTTGTAGATCAGGTGTGTGTATATGGTGGGAAGTCTACGAGGGGGGACCTTGGCTCTGGTCCGGTGTACAGGGGTCAGACTGTTGTAGATCAGGTGTGGGTCTATGGTGGGAAGTCTACAAGGGGGGACCTTGGCTCTGGTCTGGTGTACAGGGGTCACACTGTTGTAGATCAGGTGTGGGTCTACGGTGGGAAGTCTACAAGGGGGGACCTTGGCTCTGGTCTGGTGTACAGGGGTCAGACTGTTGTAGATCATGTGTGGGTCTATGGTGGGAAGTCTACAAGGGGGGACCTTGGCTCTGGTCTGGTGTACAGGGGTCACACTGTTGTAGATCAGGTGTGGGTCTATGGTGGGAAGTCTACAAGGGGGGACCTTGGCTCTGGTCTGGTGTACAGGGGTCAGACTGTTGTAGATCATGTGTGGGTCTATGGTGGGAAGTCTACGAGGGGGGACCTTGGCCCTGGTCTGGTGTACAGGGGTCAGACTGTTTTAGATCAGGTGTGGGTCTATGGTGGGAAGTCTATGAGGGAGGACCGTGGCTCTGGTCTGGTGTACAGGGGTCAGACTGTTGTAGATCAGGTGTGGGTCTATGGTGGGAAGTCTACGAGGGGGGACCGTGGCTCTGGTCCGGTGTACAGGGGTCAGACTGTTGTAGATCAGGTGTGTGTATATGGTGGGAAGTCTACGAGGGGGGACCATGGCTTTGGTCTGGTGTACAGGGGTCAGACTGTTGTAGATCAGGTGTGGGTCTATGGTGGGAAGTCTACAAGGGGGGACCTTGGCTCTGGTCTGGTGTACAGGGGTCAGACTGTTGTAGATCAGGTGTGGGTCTATGGTGGGAAGTCTACGAGGGGGGACCATGGCTCTGGTCTGGTGTACAGGGGTCAGACTGTTGTAGATCAGGTGTGTGTGTATATGGTGGGAAGTCTACGAGGGGGGACCATGGCTCTGGTCTGGTGTACAGGGGTCAGACTGTTGTAGATCAGGTGTGGGTCTATGGTGGGAAGTCTATGAGGGGGGACCATGGCTTTGGTCTGGTGTACAGGGGTCAGACTTTTGTAGATCAGGTGTGGGTCTATGGTGGGAAGTCTACAAGGGGGGACCATGGCTCTGGTCTGGTGTACAGGGGTCAGACTGTTGTAGATCAGGTGTGGGTCTATGGTGGGAAGTCTACGAGGGAGGACCGTGGCTCTGGTCTGGTGTACAGGGGTCAGACTGTTGTAGATCATGTGTGGGTCTATGGTGGGAAGTCTACGAGGGAGGACCGTGGCTCTGGTCTGGTGTACAGGGGTCAGACTGTTGTAGATCAGGTGTGGGTCTATGGTGGGAAGTCTACGAGGGGGGACCGTGGCTCTGGTCTGGTGTACAGGGGTCAGACTGTTGTAGATCAGGTGTGTATGGTGGGAAGTGTACGAGGGGGGACCATGGCTTTGGTCTGGTGTACAGGGGTCACACTGTTGTAGATCAGGTGTGGGTCTATGGTGGGAAGTCTACGAGGGGGGACCATGGCTTTGGTCTGGTGTACAGGGGTCAGACTGTTGTAGATCAGGTGTGTATGGTGGGAAGTCTACGAGGGGGGACCATGGCTCTGGTCTGGTGTACAGGGGTCACACTGTTGTAGATCAGGTGTGGGTCTATGGTGGGAAGTCTACGAGGGGGGACCATGGCTTTGGTCTGGTGTACAGGGGTCAGACTGTTGTAGATCAGGTGTGGGTCTATGGTGGGAAGTCTACGAGGGGGGACCATGGCTTTGGTCTAGTGTACAGGGGTCACACTGTTGTAGATCAGGTGTGGGTCTATGGTGGGAAGTCTACGAGGGGGGACCATGGCTTTGGTCTGGTGTACAGGGGTCAGACTGTTGTAGATCAGGTGTGGGTCTATGGTGGGAAGTCTACAAGGGGGGACCTTGGCTCTGGTCTGGTGTACAGGGGTCAGACTGTTGTAGATCAGGTGTGGGTCTATGGTGGGAAGTCTACGAGGGGGGACCATGGCTTTGGTCTGGTGTACAGGGGTCAGACTGTTGTAGATCAGGTGTGGGTCTATGGTGGGAAGTCTACGAGGGAGGACCGTGGCTCTGGTCTGGTGTACAGGGGTCAGACTGTTGTAGATCAGGTGTGGGTCTATGGTGGGAAGTCTACGAGGGGGGACCATGGCTCTGGTCTGGTGTACAGGGGTCAGACTGTTGTAGATCAGGTGTGGGTCTATGGTGGGAAGTCTACGAGGGGGGACCATGGCTCTGGTCTGGTGTACAGGGGTCAGACTGTTGTAGATCAGGTGTGGGTCTATGGTGGGAAGTCTACGAGGGGGGACCATGGCTCTGGTCTGGTGTACAGGGGTCAGACTGTTGTAGATCAGGTGTGGGTCTATGGTGGGAAGTCTACGAGGGGGGACCATGGCTCTGGTCTGGTGTACAGGGGTCAGACTGTTGTAGATCAGGTGTGGGTCTATGGTGGGAAGTCTACGAGGGGGGACCATGGCTCTGGTCTGGTGTACAGGGGTCAGACTGTTGTAGATCATGTGTGGGTCTATGGTGGGAAGTCTACAAGGGGGGACCATGGCTTTGGTCTGGTGTACAGGGGTCAGACTGTTGTAGATCATGTGTGGGTCTATGGTGGGAAGTCTACAAGGGGGGACCATGGCTTTGGTCTGGTGTACAGGGGTCAGACTGTTGTAGATCAGGTGTGGGTCTATGGTGGGAAGTCTACAAGGGGGGACCATGGCTCTGGTCTGGTGTACAGGGGTCACAGTGTTGTAGATCAGGTGTGGGTCTATGGTGGGAAGTCTACGAGGGGGGACCATGGCTCTGGTCTGGTGTACAGGGGTCAGACTGTTGTAGATCAGGTGTGGGTCTATGGTGGGAAGTCTACGAGGGGGGACCATGGCTCTGGTCTGGTGTACAGGGGTCAGACTGTTGTAGATCAGGTGTGGGTCTATGGTGGGAAGTCTACGAGGGGGGACCATGGCTCTGGTCTGGTGTACAGGGGTCAGACTGTTGTAGATCAGGTGTGGGTCTATGGTGGGAAGTCTACGAGGGGGGACCATGGCTCTGGTCTGGTGTACAGGGTCAGACTGTTGTAGATCAGGAAGTTCATTTTATATATTTTTGGATTTAGTTCCGCTTTAGGCCACACTCCTGTATCTATCGTTGGTTTTACATTTAGATACATCCACATATCTCTACAAGCAGCCCTGGACTGAAAACTCGGCAATTCTGGCATTTACCCAGAGTGGGGCTGGATCTGAGGGCGTTTATGGGCCATTGTGAGACTCTACAAGTCCCGGTACAAGACGACCAATCAAATATCACAACTGTGCAATCAAAGCTCAAAGCTCAGTTATTGTCACCAATAGATGTGCAGTCAGACTTCATACCAACAACCTGCAACTCCGTGGTCTTCCCTCCTCCCCCATCCACTGTGCAGGGGGCGTAACAGACCTGGTCATACACACCCCTCTGCTCAGACACACCCCTCTGCTCAGACACGCCCCCTCTGCTCAGACACTCCCTCTGGTCAGACACTCCCCTCTGGTCAGACATGCCTCCTCTGCTCAGACACACCCCTCTGGTCAGACACGCCTCCCAGCTCAGACACTCCCTCTGGTCAGACACTCCCCTCTGGTCAGACACAGCCCTCTGGCCAGTCACCCCTCTCTGGTCAGACACTCCCCTCTGGTGAGACACGCCCCCTCTGGTCAGTCACCCCTCTCTGGTCAGACACTCCCCTCTGGTGAGACATGCCCCCTCTGGTGAGACACAGCCCTTCTAGTCAGCCACACCCCCTCTGGTCACACACCCCCTCTGGTCACACACCCCCTCTGGTCAGTCACCCCCTCTGGTCAGACACCTATTCTGGTCAGACAAGCCCCTCTGCTCAGACATGCCGCCTCTGCTCAGACACACCCCTCTGCTCAGACACACCCCTCTGGTCAGACACGCCTCTCAGCTCAGACACGCCTCTCTGCTCAGACACTCCCTCTGGCCAGACACTCCCCTCTGGTCTAGCACCTCTCTCTGGTCAGACATTCCCCTCTGGTGAGACATGCCCCCTCTGGTGAGACACAGCCCCTCTAGTCAGCCACACCCCCTCTGGTCACACACCCCTTCTAGTCAGACACGCCCCCTCTGGTCAGACACACCCCTTCTGGTCAGACATGCCCTCTCTGGTCAGACACACCCCTCTGGTTAGGCACACCCCTCTGGTCAGGCACGCCCCATCACCTCCTCTTCAATACTAGTCTATGTGAGGACATGTGATGAGGGGTGTGGCTGTCGCTGAGCTCTGCC